TATACACACCATATACACACTCATCATACACACACCCTATACACACATCATATACACACACACATCATACACACCCCCATACACACGCTGTACATACATACGCCCTATATACATAAATGCACATTTCCCATCTCTATACCTACTATCCCCAACCCCCATACATACACTCTTCATAGTACACACATGTGTATGCCCTCACACACAGCCCACACACACATGTGCATACACACATACACATCTCATATACACACATGCACACGTATCTCACACACACGCGTGTTTGTGTGCACACACATGCAGTCCTCATTCCCACATACGTGTGACTTATCATGTTGTGTTTTCGTCGCTGTGCTCCCGTGGTCTCTCCACATACATGCTCACCTCATGACAGGTGTTTCTGAGCCTGACTGAGTGAGTGGGACTCCGTGATCCCAGACTGGAGCAGGGCTTCCTACATGTCTTTGCCTCCAGGAGCCCTTGCAGTGCTCAGAGATCTGTCTCTGCTCCGTGAGACATCCTGGTGAGACAAACCAGAGATGCTCTTGACCCGGTTACAGGTCATCCTCACCTGGCTCATGTGACTCAGCGTCTCTAAAGAGGCCCAGACTTAGGAGCGGCTGGTTGTATCTCCCCCACTGACAGCAGTGATTTGCTCCTGAGTCCAAATGTTGAGAATGGTATTATTTAGAAGCTTCTGGAATGACGTTCCCTGCACAAGCTGTTGAACACACAGAGATTTGATTAGCATGTGCTGTTGTGTAGGAGAGCCACAAAGCTCTCCTCTGATAAGTCTGCTTAGAATCAGGGAGAGAGGCCGCAAGAGGGGCCTCCTCCTGGCAAAGGAAGGAATCATCAAGGTTGTCTTCAGAGAAAAGAGGAATTGTAATTACACCACAGAGGTGATATCTAAGAGGCCAGAGATAATCAGGAGGTGACCGTACAGGTCTCAGCAGAGCTACCCAGACGTGCCTGCCTTTGCCATCAGGTTTGTCCTTCACAGGGGACCATGACACTGGTGACCTCACACCTTGGTAACCATGGACACATCTTTTCACAAATCCTCTAATCAGAGACTTGAAGAGTATATCTTCCAATCAGACCATATGAAGAAGAAAGAAATGCAAGAAAATAAATAAAACATTTTTTTTCTTGCATTAACACTTATTAGTGGTACAGTGAACTGTTTCTGCCAGCCAGCCTTGCAATGGCTGGTATTCTGGACTGAGGCTAGTTGAGGCCCTTCCTTGGGGCGTGAATATTCTTAACACCCTTCCAGAATACAAGTCTGTTTCCCTTAAACGGGAGAGCTACATCTGTGGCCTAAGAGGGAACTTTTTGTACCTTGCTCTGTCCCCTCTTCCAAGTGCTCTACCTCACAGCAGACCTGGAGCGGTCTTGTAATTTCATATTCCTGTGTTAAATTGATGTTGTCTTTGGAGAGAGAGGGAGTGTAAATGCTTAAAAATAAGAAACAAACCAGCTATCAGAGGGGTGGAGATCACAACATGAGTGTTCGTTCTTGTTTTTAAGTTAGAGTCAGATTCCAGGGATCAGGGCAGATACTGTTTAAATAAACAGGCTGTGGGCCTCAGAAGCCCAGCCTCCAAGTCCAGGAGGGGTCTGGAGGCAGCATAGGCCTACGCCCTGCCCCAGAGTCTGTCCCTCAGCTCACTGAAGGCCACCAGGATGCCAGGGGTGGGAAGGCCATGGCTGTGTGTGTACTCTAGAGAGCTTGGAAGTTTCTTTTGAAAATGTAATCCCTTTCTCGTCCAACCTGACAGTGATTTTCTTTTCTTTTTCCTCAGGGTGACCAGAGGCAGGTCATTCCCGTACCAAGTGTATGTATCTTTATCCAGTTCTCTTAAAACATGTGCCTACTCAGGGGCCTACTCAGGGGAAAGTTTTCTAATGTTCTTGCTTCTGTTGGGTTTTATTATGTGGCATAAACAACCATATTCTGCATAAAAACAAAGAAACAAAGCTAGTTTGAGCTGTGGAGAACTGCTGTTCTTGGGAGAAGAACAGACAACAGCAGCATCCACCTACTTCCCCCTGGTGTCCTCCCAGGAAGAACCCCCCCACTTTCAGTAAACTGAGGTCCTAGAGCCCATCCCCACCCCCATACTGCACTGGCCCAGCACCACTGAGCAGGAGAGCATCATACGTTACCCCAGCTTACTTCTTCAGATTCTGGCTCACTGAACTGTTCCCAGCTTGCTTGGCTGCAGCTCTGGGCTGAGAGGAACCGTCCAGCTTAAACTCCTTGAACCTGCAGGATCCAGCCTACCCCTCAGGCGGGCGAGCAACCCAGCAGCTCTGCCTCAACCAGGCCACCTCACCTATGTTTTAAAACCTTGCATTCCAAAGAGAAGTTGTACCCCTGTCCCCAAGCCTCCGACTGACCCATTTGCTCTCATATCTCACACCCCACACCCCCACACCCCTGCTCAGCCTGCAGCCAGCACCTCTGTCCTCAGATCAAGCAGCAAGCAATTTCCCTGAGGAACTTTAGGCTGGGTACAAACCCATGTCCTCAGGGAAGGGTTCAGCCTTAGTCTGTGAACTGGCTTCTTGGTCTACGAAGATTATCTTAATCAGATCTGTTTGTGTGTATCTTTGACACCTTTTCTGGAACCATCAGGAAATTCAGCTGCCCTACCTCAAATAGAATGGGTCTTAGGAGTTTGGGTTGCCCGAGGCTTTTGATAGCACCGTGTCACTTGTAAGTGGCTCACAAGGCCACTCATTTTCTTTTTCTCAAGACCTTTGATTCTCTACTGACCATGCCTAGGAGGGGTGAGCTTCGTTTGTGGAAAGTACTCATTTTAATTTAGCATGTTAGTCAGTGTTTGACCATGATACCCAGCGGGCTTGATAACGAGGGGCTTCCTCTAACCCCCGTAAAGGTAGTCTCATACCTGTTTCTTACACAGTGTTTGTATTAAATAGAGGGCAGCATCTATTGCCCCTCCCCAATGTCACTGTCCTCCCCAGGTGACCAATTGCATCTATAAAGCTAGGCGCTTTACAGCAACTGTGACCCATGCAGACCCCGCTGAGGACAGCAGCCATTTCCCCAAAAATTCAGAATAAAGTAAACGGGAACCAGGAGGTTCCTTGTGTAACTTATCTCAGCATCGGATCAATAAACTGCAGGCTCTGTCAGATGGTGTGGGTCAGATCACGTGACTGGTGGGACTGGCCTCCAAAAAGGTTGAAGTTACCTTGTGTCTTTGTGTTGATGCTTCCCCCTCAACCCCCCAACACACACACACACACACACACACACACACACTGGAGATTACCTGTGTGGGTTAAAAAGCACTCTACCACTGAGCTACATCCCTAGCCCCAGTTTGCATCTTTAAATAATAACGAAGGAAACCCGTCCTTCCAGTGGGCGGTGCCACCTGCACGGCCTGCTCAGCATGCAAGGCTGAGAACCAGGTCATCTGGGCTCAGTTCAGATCCAAGATGTAGATCCTGGCATCCCTGGTAAAATCTGTACTGACTTCCCAAGGCTCCAGGTCACCAGGTCACCTGTTCTTCCTGGAGCAGAGAGGGTGCTGGGTAATACTGAAACTAGGGACGCTGTATCAGAGGACTAGATGCCTGGCTAGGCAGGGGTGCCTCCAGACCTCCCCTGGTCTCCAGGATGACTTCTCCGGACATAAAGAGCAGGAGGAGTATGAGACCACGGGTGCCCAGGGCAACTACTGGTGCAGAGTTGCTCTCCCATCCCCTCTCCCCACCCCACTTCCGTCCTCACCCCTGCCTCATTTACATGCTGGTCTGTTCTCACGTGCAAAAGTTTCAGACTTTGAGCTTTTATTCAACAGTAATTCAAACCAGTAGTTAAATTTTAAATGCCGAAAAATTAGCATGAAAGGGGAAAAGTCCTCCCAGCAGTCCCCACAAGCTACTGTAACCATCACAGATGCCGTTACATCCCTCTCAGAAAGTTTCCAGAGAAACACATACATGCACCCACCGTTCTGCAAACGGCTCACTGGGTCACAAGCGCCTTGAACATTCTTCTACATACCAGCATACACACCCATTGTATTGCCTGGCACTGACGCCGTTCACTCAGCCACCATTTGTGTGTATTCCCGAGCTTTTGTCGTAGAAGTATCTGGGTGTACATGGACCTCTACGACCTGGTCCTAACTGGAAACACTGGGTCCAACACCATATTCCACATTGCTAGTTATCAGATTGTCCTCCAAAACCTGCTAGTTTATGCTCCCAGAACAGCCTCTGAAGTGACTCCATTCCCTTGCTGAAAATTGTTCTCAAAGGCTTTTAAAACCTTTGCCAATCTGAAAGTAAAGAGTGCTCTGGATTTAGTGCTTTGACTGGCATTACTGATCAGCGAATGTGAACACTTGCTCATTGGCTGCGCACCTTGCTTCCACACTGTCCACCTAGGTTTTATCCTGTCTAATCTTTTTTTAAAGCGTTCAAGAAGTGTTGCTTGGCCTGAGAGAGTAAGCTTGGTGGGTAAAAGTGCTTGCGGCCAAGGCTAATGACCTGAGTCTGATTCCCTGGGACCAACATGACAGAGAGAAAAACAACCCCACACTTTATTCTATATGTTCACACATACACACACACACACACACACAAAGTATAAATAAAACTTTTTAATGTTGAAGAACTACCTATAATGTATCTTTTGACCTTCCTTATAATCATTTTTCCCACAAAGAATTTTGATCTTCTATAGGTAAATGTATTGATCTGATGCCTTATAACTCCTGTTTCTGTGTTTAAAGATTTACCCAGTTTGTAACCATGACACGTGACCCGTGTTCTCTTCTGATGCTTTGGTGTTCATCCATTTACAAGGCGTGGCATGTTGCTCTAGTGGCCACCTTGTTGCCCTGAACCTTTACTGAGTCGTCATCTTTGCCACACCACTGCAGTGGCATCCTTAGTGGCTTTTGTCCCTCAGCTGTAGGCTGGCAGCTAGAGCCTTCCTCATTGGGACGCTTCATGGGCTTTTAGTTACAGTCTGACATTGGAGGGTAAGGAAGAAGTGCAGGGGCCAGGAAGTTCTCATACTTGGAGTGATCATGGCTCGAGACAAGCTTGGGAAGATGGTGTCCTCAGTGAAAGATGCCACAGGGTCTGTGACCCAAGCCCTGTTGTCCCAGACTCTGGCTGAAGTCGCCTGTCTCACTGATGTGTACACACAGTGGCCTGTCGGTGTAGCAGAGCCATGAAATCTCTGAAAGGGGAAGTAGGAATTGACTTATCAACCAGTCTGTGTTCTGTGCCAAAAACATTTAATCAAACTGGAGTATCATTCTCAAACTTGAAGCAGCAAGCCATGATGCCTTTCTCCCCCGGACTCCCACTTCAATTTTTCTGCCCCACCCTGCAAGTCCAGTACATTCATTCGTGTAAGTGACTTTGCATAGAAAAGGCCATTCTTATACTCAGTGGCCCGTGCGTGTAATCCCAACACCAGGAGGATTGAAAGTTTCACACCAGCCAGAGCTAAATGGCCAGCAAGGTGACTCAGGGAATAAAGGTGCTTTCCAAGAAATCCTGTCAACCCGTGACTCAAATGAAGATGGAAGAAAACAACAGACCTCACAGAATTGTCCTCTGACCTGCACATGTATGTCATGACACATGTATGACATACGGGTGCCCACATATAGCCCCCCCGTCACAATAACAGTAAATAGCTGAAAGGTGTTTTGTGTTGTTTTAATGACTAGCCTGATGGTACAGGTTCCTAATTCCAGCTGCTCAGGAGGCTAAGGTAGAGTTCAAGGCCAGTCTGAATACCTTAGCGAGACCTTGCCTCGTGTTTTAAACAGTCAAGAGAGGATGAGTGTGTCTCACTGATGGAGCGCTCGCTCGCCCAGCATGGCCGATGTCCCAGGTTCTGCTTATAATACTGCAGTCAGTAAGGAAGGCCCTTCCTGAGGTAATGGGTGTTTTTCTCAACTTTGAGCTTTATGAAGACCTCACTCAGAGATCTGGCTAAATCATCCAGTGAATGATTCAAGACCAGCTAGGTAACAAAGCCCTGTGGCAGCCTTATAGTGTCCTTGTATTGTACAGCTCTCCAGAGGTCTTGGTGGTGGCTGGATTAATTCGCATTTCTCTAGTGTAGGCTCCAGAAGAAGCTGTGTTCATTTAGGAAAGGGGCTAGGGTGTAATGGTGCCCGCCCTCCTCGCACGGTTTCCCCTCCTGGCCTTGCTCTCTGCTTGTTGAACAGGAGTCTCACCCACCCTGGTCTTCTTTTCCATACATCATTGGGTCAGGGACATCTATTTTTTTTTAATTACTCTTAATTCACAGAACATCTGTAAAGCGTGGGTCACATGTGCTGAAGGGGTAATTTTTAGTCTTGGGCACAGAAAACCACTGAGCCCGCTTTTGGCAGATCTTTGACGGTTTCAGATCTGTGAGGGGTAGAATTGCTAGAGCCTTGTTTTCCAGGCTAGCGATTTAAATGACTTAAGTTATAAGCATTGCTTTAGTAGCCCGAAGACTGGAGGGATGCAGGCTAAACCTGGGGGCAGGGGGGTTGGCGGGACGGCTAGAAAGGGAAAGGTTCTCACCTGTCCATATTCTTCACGCTGAGACTGTGTCTGTCTTACATAATTGTGTGATAAAGTCAAAACGAATGTTATCCTGGTCACATGCATACCTTCTGCTGTGTCCCAAAGAGAGAATTCCCTATCTCTTGCTTATGTTCACTTGTGGGACTGACTCTCCCTGCGCCCAACAAATCTCAACTCTGCTTTAAAAAAAAAAATTTTTTATCAAAAAAAGTTTTTCAAGGTTTTTTTTTTTTTTTTTTTTTTTTTTTTTTTGGTTTGGTTTTTTCGAGACAGGGTTTCTCTGTGTAGCCCTGGCTGTCCTGGAACTCACTCTGTAGACCAGGCTAGCCTCGAACTCTCGAACTCAGAAATCCGCCTGCCTCTGCCTCCCAAGTGCTGGAATTAAAGGCGTGCGCCACCACCGCCCGGCATGTCTTGCAAGTTTAATGACTTTTTTTTTAGTAACCTGCTGACTCAGTTGTTTATAATGGTGGTTACAGTCCCCCTCAGTCTTTGAATTCCATGTCAGCTGCCAGGGGACATCCCACCTCCCCTACTTGTGCTGGGAGGCCAGGAAGGATCAAGAACAAGGGTTAGTTAAAGCTCTGAGAGACGGATTCTTCTGGGGTTTTTCTTCTCCATGATTTGGAAAAGGCCATCAGCCCAGGAAGCACCCTAGAGTTAGGGCTGCCTATGTCCTTATATGTCAGCTCTTCTTACTCAGCCCCTCTGCTGGATGATCATGGTACCTACCTCCTTCGTTAACCTCCCGACTGGTATACATTCACTGTTGGACTAGCTAAAGTTTAATTTTATTTTCAGTCCTGGGACTAAACCTAATGCCTCCCACAGCATTCTGGCCTGCTACCCACCCTACTTTTCGAGATAGGGTCTAAGTTCACCAGGTGAGCCCCCATACTCTGTAACCTAGACAAGCCTTGGGCTATTGGTCCTACCTCAGTTTCCTGAGTTGCTGGAATCATGGGCTTGCGCCACCTAGCCCAGCTTCAAAATTAATTTTTTTTTTTTTTTTATTAGCTGACGTTCAAAGGAGGAAAAGTATCGGCTACTTTAAAGGAAATACTCCTGATTTCAGGCTTGCTTGTCTTGCTTGAAAAACTCCGATGTTCATTCTTCCGTGGCTGAGTCTAGATACTTAATTATGTTTTGTTTTGAATCAAATATTAAACAGTTTGCAGGAAAAAATTTAACTAGTTAACTTTAGACACGGAACATACCACAGTCAAATTAAAATACCTCACATTATCTTTGGAATGAGGCAAGGCCCAAAGAAATAAATACTCGAAACAGTGGAGGCTGGCTGAAATTACAGAGCAGTGCATTATCTCCGTATGACCCCATCACAAGACAGGAGTCAGCTGCTGTAAGACTCTGGTTGGTGCAGCACGTGGATTGGAGTCTTAACTCAATATAAAAGGCATGGACCCCGTCCATCCAGTTTCGTGCCACAGCAGCACTGAATTCACCAGTTTAAACTTTATACTTGAAGCGCAACTGGGTTGGTGGGTCTACAGCTTCTCTTCTGCTGTTTAAGAATACCTGTCATGGAGACTGAAGAGACGGTTTGGTAAATTAAGCATTTACGCCACTCTTGCAAAGGACCCAGGTTCAGTTTCCAGCTCACACCTACCAGCTGTAACTGCAGTTCCAGTAAGTCTGACACCCTCTCGTGGACTCTACAGGCACTTGCCTGCACTAAGCACACATACAGACAGGCAGGTACACATAAATAAAAATACCAGTCATTGAAGGGGGAAAAAAAAAAGCCTCGAGTCCAGCATAGCTTCAAAGTTTCCTGATATGTCACAGTTCATTTTAGGCAAGATACAACCCCAGGAAATAGACCCATGAAGCCTGGATATCGATAACAAGTTGACATCCGTTCTGATGTAACCCATTTTAATAATAATAATGGGTGCCTCGTGCACACCAGGAAGAACGGCGGTGGTTTTCTGCTGGTACAACTGATGAACATCTGCCTTACGTGAAGGTATTGTCATCTCAACTAATTAAAAATAATATGTGTCTGCGATGGTACTGAAAACTCTGGCTTGATGCCAAAGCGCAGACCCTCACGGTAGTCGCAGAAAGACGCAGTTTCAGCGGGGCAGAATTTCCACTGCAGAATCCTGACTGTTACTGTTTTGAATAAAGTGGTGTGGTGAGCTTGACCAGGCCTTTTGAGTGTTTTATTTTGATCATGCCCTCATTAATGTGGTCACCGCTGAAGCTTAGGTTGGTGTCGGGGAATCCGACTCCTACCTTGAGCTTGTAATATTGATTTTTCCCCCTTCTTCCTTTAGCCACCAGCTAAATACCTCCTTCCAGAGGTGACGGTGCTCGACTATGGAAAGAAATGTGTGGTCATTGACCTAGACGAAACCCTGGTGCACAGTTCGTTTAAGGTACATTTCACAAGCAGTATCACCGGAGGGCGGGGGGTGTGACTTCATCACCATCCTGTGGAAAGGGTGAAAGCTTGTGGCTGTTTGTTATGACTTGACTCCTCAGGAAGATATCCCAAGAACTCCGGGTTATAGTTAGACCTATCCCTGTAACCCGGATGAATGTGGGCTGTAATAGTTGATTATGAAGACATTGGTTCATGGAGGTCCATTGGCTGGGCTGCCAGTATCTCTGAGATCTTACTAATTCTTTGAGATCTGGGCTTCCCCACTCTAAGCCCTTAGAAATGCTTTTAGGTTCAGGTGGTACAGGGGATCAGGGTACCAGGATGAGACGTTTGTTGAAGTAACTAGAACGCTGTGCATTTTATTGGGCGGGGTGCCGGGTGGGTAATATTGAAAACTGTCTGGTAGCCCTGCTGTCCTGGGAATGTTCCCAGATCAATTTTTGAACGATGTCCAACTGGAAGGAAGCCTTCCAGAGTTAAGCATCTGAGTAGCCTGGGCATCCGTTCTGATCATTCTCATGCTGGGATTTCTTGTACCCATCACAGCTGACCAAGCACTCACCTTCACAGCCCATCCCATTGGGTGCTGAGCTGCGGCTAAACTATGTCAAAGTGAGTGTCAGAGGCTTTCTGATCTCTTCCCCTGCTCCATCTCACCAACGGAGCAGCAATGGCTACATTGTTAATTCACTCCTCCTGAAAGTAGCAGTTGTTTAGAAGAGACAAACGCTGCCATGTTTGAATGAGTGACTGGTGTGTTGGCAGAAGCATGAGTTGTATCTGTGAGCTTGGTTCTTGTCTTTGTGGACTATTCCCTGTCATGAAACTGCTCTACCCTCACTCAGTATGTTCCTCATGTCCCCCTGTCTTGGGGTGCCTCTTGCTTCACTGAGAGATGCGACTGGCTCCACCCATGATGGGTGTCTCTCCTGAGCCCTTGTCATTTCTGGCAGGTCATCAGGCAGAAGAATCATTAAGATTTACCTCACACCTTCCTACAGGAAACAGCATCCTCTCTGTGCCTTCTCACTGAAGGCTCAGCACGAGGCCAGGAGGCCATCTTTAAAGGCTTTGGAAGGTAGACAACCTAGCAGTGAGAAGGGACCTCATTCTAGCTGCTGAGACATGTAGGACCACCTGATTACCCAGCATTCCAAAGGCCTGGGGCCAGAGTGGCCTCGTGTCCAAGCTTGGTTCTAAATGACATTGCAACATTTCCCTTCTGTGAAGCAAGCCACTGGGGGCTTCCAGCCTTTCAGAGCAGGAGGCAGATTCCATCATAGCATAGAGTACTCTCCCAAGCAGCTCCAGACAAACTGCCCAAGATTACCAAGGGTTCCTGGCTCCAAGACTAGGCCTTGGCAGCACTGGTGTCTCTGATCAGAGGGCAAGGCCTCCCCAAGCTATAAATAAAATTTCCTCATTTCTTCCCTGGCTTCACTACTTTTAAAATTATCTTTTACTTTGTTTTATGTATCTGTTTTTGCATTGAGTGTGGGTGCGTGTGTGCCACAGCTTGTGTGTAGAGGTCACACGAAAAGTTTTAGGAGCCAGGTCTCTCCTCGAACCGTGGGTTCCAGAGATCACCAGGCCTTACTCAGCACTGAACTGTGTTTCCTTGCTTAGCCATCTCATGGGCTTGGGCCAGGCTACTTTTGCAAGCCAAATGTTCCTCATGGTGTTTAACGTTTTCTGGGCATTTCAAAGTCTTTTGGGAATGTGTCCACCTCTCCTGTGTGACACCCGAGCTCATGGACTCAGGAAAAGCACTGGCTTCAGCGTGGTATCATCACACAGCACAAGAGAGTTCATGACCACCGTTGGAAGCTGGGAGTGATTTTTTTTTTCCTCTCTTACTTCACCCTGTGGAATGGGATTTCACAACCCAAAGCCTTTGACAATTTCTTCTTCAGTCTTTTTCTCTGATTTTCATAATTCTCTATTTCGGTGGTAAGATTATGAAATGTTGAGTTCATCCCTCGCCTTCCTGCCCTGGGAACAAATAAACTATGGGCTTAAGCAGCGTTCCCACATCTGCGCCTTTATTAATGGGGTTGCAGCCCACAGTTTTCAGTTTATATGTCAAGGAAAAATGTATGGTGCACTAATAGACTTAAAGATAGACTCAGTTTACAGTCTGACCAGAGGTTCTGCATGCCCTTCTCTACCCAGTGCCCATATGCCCAAGTCCCTCTTGCCCCTAACATCTGCAGGCTGGTGGTTCTTTTGGACCTCTTTGTTAATGTTTTCCAATGTGTGGAATTCCATTTAGAACTGCCTATGAGCCTGTCATTCAGTGATTGTGACTGCTGAGGTAATACTTTATTTTTCAAATGTGTTTAATACTAGCCAAGAGTTACGTTAAATGCCTGTCAAGTTGTGGGTAAGCTGTCTTGTGTTTCTTAGAGCAGTTAGGCTGGCCATCCTCCAATCCCAGAGTAGAAAGCCAGGACAGGCCACTAGGCAGGGCCTGAGGTCTGATGGAGCTGGGGGACCCTACCAGACCCACCACTATAACAGTTGAAGAGGAGACGCTGAAGTCAGAGGGGAAGGTCTACCCAGAGTCCTGACCTGCGGCATCTGGCTTTCTGCCTGCTGTGGGTCTGTCCTCTGGGCATCCCCTTTGAAGCTGGCCACACTGTGAGTCCAAGGACAAATTGCTTTTCCAGTGGTAGTGACAACTAGCCAGCAGGCTCTCCTGTCTGCCCCCTGGTGGCCATCAGTAGTTTCCCTCATCCTATCTGGACTCTAGGCTGGAGTCTGAGTAGCCCCATTCTCTTGCCAGACTATGCCAACCTTTGTGGTTAAAGCAGGCAGGTGACCAAGAGATTGGACTAGATGCTGAAACTCTGGGACACTCAGGACAGAAAGAAATACGCCTTCCTGCGTGTTTGTTTCAAGGACCCAAGACCTGTGCCAGCGTCCCCGTGAACTATTTCCCTGAAATTATCAAAACAGTCACTGGTCCAGGCAAGCTTTTTTCTTGCTACAACTTCCAATTTTCTCTTTCCTTTCATGTGTATTAATCACGGTTTCTTTTCTCTCCAGCCCATTAGTAATGCTGACTTCATTGTCCCGGTTGAAATCGACGGAACCATACACCAGGTAAGAAATCAGAGCTAACCTGCAGTTCCAGCGAGCATTTTCCTGTAACCACGCTCCCTGTGATCATCATTTCTAAATTCGCATTTCAGTGGCAATTTTCTTCCAACCACAGGAAACAAACTTTGTATAATAAATATAGCAAGCCAGGCACGGAGACAGAGGCAGGCGGATCTCTGAGTCCGAGGACATCCTGGTCTACAAAGCGAGTTCCTGGACAGGCAGGGCTACACAGAGAAACCCTGTCTCAAAAAACTAAATAAAAAGTACAGTGATTCTCTGCCTCACACACGGTTTGCTTTGGACCAGGTTCTGAGGACCCTTTCCTGTTCATAAATGTTAGGTGTGGTTGTTCTTTGATTTGATTTTGACTTTCAGGAGCCTCTGTACTACCCCTTAGTCATCTCTACAGCTGGCCAGGCTTGACATCTGGAAAACTTCATCACGAAATTGCTTTCGGCTTCTCCTAGCAACAGGAAAATGCCACTAGTCACCCACTTATGGGGCATTCTTGGGAAAAGATGTCCGCTTTGATGCCAACTGCCCCCGTGCGAGCTTCTCGGCCCACGTCGTTTTCTCCAGAATCTTTTTTAGCAAATACTCAACCCAGAGCCAAGGGGGACGGGTCCATGAAGACCAGCAGGTTGCTGTGCATAACCCTGTCATCGTCAGCTGGCGTGAATCTTCTTCTGGTTTTTTGCTTTTCTTTTTTATTTTCTTTGTCATCGGCAAGCTCTTCTGGAGATGGCTTCATTTATGAATACGTTAGAAGCATGGTAGAAGGACTTGCCTAGGAGGCTGAGGTAGACATAGCTTTGCCAGTTGTTCCTTAGGAATGATGGCACAGACCATCTCCCCTGTCACACTCTAGGCCTTAAGGGGAGAGTATCTGGCCTCATACCCCAGGAAGGGACATTTCCTGGTTCCTGAGCCACACAGGGTGTCATTTCCTAAGGAGGCCAATAAAGCTCCTTAACTCTTGAATTCCGTTTAGAACAATCCAGGCCTGTGAAATCAGCTGTTCAAGCCACCTCATTGCCCAGACGGGAAAACTGAGACTACATTAGGGAATGGGTTGCCTCAAGATTATATATGAGAAGTATCAGAATAAGAGTTCCTGATTCCTAAACCAGGGCTCTTTCCTTAGACTTGGTTCCCCCACTTCCCCTTACCCTCAGCTAGCTCTCTGACCTGTTCTGCAGAACGCATGATCTGGGAAGGTGGTGGTTCTACACTTCATGGTTTTAAAAGCCATCATAAAGTCAAAACTGTAGGCACCTGGGGCACTTAGCATTCACAAAGCACCCACTGAATTATCTCAACCCCCCTAACCCCCCACCCCACCCTCGCCAAGCAGTTAGGACTTCTGCACTGGTTGCTGTGTCTAGGGTCAAAGAGTCCTTGAGATGAGGCACAGGAGGGCTGCCCAAGTGAATGGAGAGAAAATAATCCTCCACACCATGTGACCACAAGCATGTCAGCATGCAGGACCCACCCCCAGCTCCTCTAGCCCCTTTTCTTTGACAGTAGACACCCCGGGGCATCAGGGCTGAGATCAGAAACTCCAGAGAGAAGGCACAAAAGCTGGAGGACCAAGGCCCTGGCGAAGGCCGTGGCCTCGTTCAAGTAATCCAGGATAGGCTGTGCAGGTCCCAAGGGGCCTATTCTTGGTTACTTGCACGGGGACGCGGGCCTGGACGCCGGCATCCGGGCCCAGGACCCTCCTTTCTGCTAAAGGCAGCAACATCAGAGTTCCCCCGTCAATCTCCAACCCTTTGCATGTAGCCAAGCTTGCCGGCCAAGCAGTACTCCCAGGGACACAGGACCGGAGGCCACACCCAGTCCCTGGCACCAGCAACAAGGAGTGTTGTGAGCAAAACAGGCCCTGCAGCTGCTACAACCACACAGCTCTGCCCTCAGCCTAGCCTAGCATCCCAGCTCAGTAGGGTCCTCTCTTCCTTCAACCTTAGAGCCAGGCCCCCAACCCACTCCTTCCGCTAGCCAGCCCCTTTCTCCCAAGTCTTTGCCCTAGCAAGCACCTTTGTCTGGCATCCTGCAAATCAGTGTTTCCAATCTGGGAATTTTGTCCTGCAGTGTGTTTTCCTCGCATGTGTTGTGGTCTTGTGTCTTGTGTCCCCTTCCGCAGCCCCCCTCCCCTCCTCTGTCTGCCCTTAACCCTTTCCCTTAACAGCCTCCCAGGCTCTTCTCACTGCCTGTGGTTGGCTGGGCACACAGACTCTGTGTTGTCACACAAGTGTTGTCAAGCCTCCAGGCCTCACGTTCATACTTTGTTCACATTGGAGGCTCAGCTCTCTCTCTAAGTGTGTAAACCCCTCTTCATTCAAGGTCAAGGCCAGATGTTGCTTTCTGAGACGCCCTCTGCAAAGGAGAATTATCTTGAATGAGTACCCCACTGTGAGATTTCTTGTGTTCACTAATTTCTGTCAGTGTGTGCTCAAGACTGAGTGAGCCCGGCAAGGCCCCACCACAGGAGTCTCTCCAGAGGATGAGGCTCCAATTCAGCCTTGTAGCTGTACTGAGCACAGCGCTGTGGCCTGGTAATTATGTTTCATTTTAAAGATGTAACTAACTTCCAGTGGAATTTATTCAAGTTTTAATTGGTCCCTCCCTCTGCCTCCTTCCTCTCCCTGGCTTTTCTTTCTCTTCCAGTTCCCTCAGATTCCTTTAGCCTCCAGAGACTGCAGCCTGTATGCTAGGTGAAGCCAGCTGCCTTGCAGGCCTGCCTGGCCTGACCAGAAGGATACACAGAGCCCAACTGTGGGAAGCAGCCCCTTGCCACTGTGAAGTGCTTTCTGTACCCCGACACAAGGAGACTGACCTCCATGGTGTCCACTGGAAAGTTTTCAAGTGCATTAACCCTAGGGGGTGGGGACATTCAGAGTTGAAGACCGAAGCTAGTCCTAGACTTCCAGAAGGACAGCACTTAGGCTATGGCCTGTATCCACATAGGGTCTGACTCTGTAAGTGCCAAAGATAACACTTGGGATGAATGAGTGACTTCACTTGGACACAGCACAGCTGTGCTCCCCTTACGGGCTCCGAAGATCCTCAAGACGCTTGATGACCTGGTCAGCTTCCCTTTCTCTCTGTGAGGGTTGTCTGCATTGGGATGCGGAACCTAGAGCAAGCTTCGGTAAACCGTGCATAGGCCTGGCAACAGGAGGAGGGCCCCTTGGCAGCTCTTCCATGGCCCAGGCTGTCTCTGGCTGCTATGACTGACAGCTCTGTCTCCTCCCACTGCAGGTGTATGTACTGAAGCGACCGCATGTGGACGAGTTCCTCCAGAGGATGGGGCAGCTCTTTGAATGTGTGCTCTTCACTGCCAGCTTGGCCAAGGTGTGTCCTGCGTCCTGCTCCCTGCTGCAGACTCCCAGCCCTCATCCCAACCTCTCCACCACCACCACCACCACCCCTCCAAGCTGCCAAGAGCCCTTTGTTAAGGTGGAGGAAGCTATTTTTACGGTGACAGGTTCCCACCCCAGATGGGATGGATGCAGGCCATGTGCACACACTGCTAGGCTGAGAGGCTTCTGGTTACCATGGTGACGGGGAGCATTTGGAACAAATGCTCCATGAAGTTGCTTTATGCAGCCACCTGAAACCAGTTATCCACAGACAAAGCCAGAAGACCTGTCCATTGTGACCATGGAGGGATGGGGGAGTTTCTCTCGCCACTGACAGGCAGCCAGATGTTAGAGTCCCTATGTCCCTGGGTTTGGTGGCCACAGGTTCCAGGGAGGAACAAGTTAAGAAACAGGTGTCAAATGTCACTGTTAGGCAAGGGATGATGGGAGTTCTGACCGCCTTGGTAGCTAAATGGTTTCTGGTAAATTCCTTTACTTCTGGCACGTTGGTTTCCTCTTGTCTAATTGGGGCTAATTCCATCTGCCTGAAAGAGCTCATTAAATGAAATGGCCCATGCGAGCGAACGGCTCAGCACAGCCCCAGACTCCATCAAACAGACGTTCGTTGAGTCCTCACTGTCTTCTGGGCCCTGCCGTAGACACTGTCACAGGGTAAACACTCCTGATATTCAGTATTTACCATCATAAGAATCAGTACCATCCAGACAGGCTTCATAGGTGCCATGGTGTGTTGAAAGCAGGCAGAGTAGACACTAGCTCACACTCCCAGGTCCTTTCTCTGCCCTCTGTGATTCTCCCAGAGTCATGCAATCTACTTGGAGGCACTAGGTATGTCTTCATGGGTACCTTGGAAACTCTGAGTGGCCCAAGAGATGAGTGCAGGTTAATCCTCTGTGTGCAGAACACTGGGAGCCACCAGGAGCTCCCTCCCCCATGGCTGGCCTGGGACAGCACCTATCTTCGGCTGTGTGTTGGACCTTCGACTCCAGGTCCTCAACACTACCCTGCTGGCTGGGGCATTCCTGGCTGAGTCTGTACTCTGTGCTGACCAAGGCAAGAGCCATCGACAGCTGGCCTCAACGGGAGCTGCTAAAGAGAGATCCGAGCCTGGCTGTTTGTTCTCATGTTAAAAAAAAAACACGGCCTCAAGAAAAACATAATCTTCCCCAGTGGTACAAGACTAATTGAAAGAGCAGCTTCAGTGGCGTTTGTGATGCTGCTCCGGGATGCTAAAGAACCTGCAGTAATAACCAGCCAAATAAGCAGGCGGGAAGATTGCACCAGTGCGCTGGACCGAGGCTTGTTTTTTTTTTTTTCTTAGCAGAACGCTACCAGGGTCCCCAGTGTTCGCTTAAACATCCTTGTCTGGGCTGCTCTTCCTGGGCTGTTCTCACCCGCCCCACCATCTGTTTCTCTAACCCTACTTGCCTGCAGAGCCAAACCCAGTTCCCAGTGCGGCCTCAGCCTTTTCAGCCCCGATGGTCAGGTTGGACTGGTGATCAGAGTCCCAGCTCTGTATGATGAGTTTAGCTCAGCACTCGGCCAGCGGCTCTTATACACTGCCTCTCTGCTTCCTGCTTTGGCCTGCAGGGACACCGCACCGACTTCCTGACCGCCATGGTGTCTGCTGGTTTGTCGTGCACCCTTTGGTTCTTTTGTCCCTCATACATGGTAGGGCACCAAGGAGAAAGGATGAGCCCCTATACCCAGTGCCTGCAGTCTTCATCCCGGTCTCGTAGGCCTGGAGCCCCTAGACGCTTCCCTAAACGATGGTCACCAGGACTGGAGAGATGGCGCCACACTGGCTACTTCTGCAGAGGATCCAGGTTCAGTTCCAAGCACCTACATGACAGCTCACAACTGTCTGTAACTCCAGTTCCAGGGGACCCAGTGTCCTTGCCTGACCTCTGTAGACACTGTACACATGTGATGCCCATCCATGCATACATACATACATACATACATACATGCAAGCAAAGTACCCATACACATAATTTTTTGAAAGTCTATCTTTGAAAAATATATAAATGAAAGGCTGATTGCCACACTGTTGGCCGCAGAGGAGAAGAGGAGCCATCTTTTTCCATCCGAGTTAACCCTCTATCAACTGCTCATATGCCCCTTAGTCCCTTCACTCAGACAGTCCTCTAAGCTGCTTGGTCAGCGGCTTCCCTTGGGATTCCTGAGAGCCGGAAGAATTTTCCCAGGGACCTAGCAGCACTGCATCCTACTGTGGCCTTCCTGACTTAGCCTCAGGTGTCCGCACCCTCCCTGAAATGGTTGCCAGCCCTGGGTGTTCCTAGCTGTGGGTCTCACTTTGGCCTCGCTGCTGAGTCCAAGCCTCAGGTGAAGCCTGCAGAGCGAGGCGGTGCAGGATGAGAAGTGCTGTTTGCCGCGTGTTTACTCCAAAGACAGTAGGCAAACCGTGGGATAAGGTTTTAAGCTGTGATACAGGATGTCATGTGTCCTCCAGTGGCTACTCTGACAGTTGTGAGGTAAATGAGCTGGGAGGGGGGGGCAGCAGGAAAGAGGAGCCCCAAGTCAGGAGGCCAGGTCCAGGAAGATGCATGAGAACTGAAGGAATAAAGGTGGGAGTCAAGGTATTTTTGGAGATGAAGCTGACAGGAACTTTGAATGGGTTCTATGGGGGAGAACCGTAAGAAACACAGTGCTTTCTAACACAGACGGAAAGAGAAATACCACAGTCCTAAAAGGCTTCCAGTTATTTCAGAGCCCTTTTAAAAAGTGGACCAAGAGGCTGACAAGATGGGTCAGCAGCTCAAGGCACCTGCCATGCAGGCCTGGCAGTCTGAGGTCAATCCCTGGAACCCACGTAAAGGTTTGAGGGAGAAACATTCCCCGAAGTTGCCCTCTGACCTCCAGGTGCACATCGTGGTGCATGTGTGTGCATGTACATACACAACAATGGTCAGTTTTTGTTTTTGTTTTTTTCGAGACAGGGTTTCTCTGTGTAGCCCTGGCTGTCCTGGAACTCACTCTGTAGACCAGGCTAGCCTCGAACTCTCGAACTCAGAAATCTGCCTGCCTCTGCCTCCCAAGTGCTGGGATTAAAGGCGTGCACCACCACCGCCCGGCGACAATGGTCAATTTTAAGTGAAAGAAAAGTAAGTCTGGGAAGAAGCCTTAGTTGGTAAAATATTGTCAAGCATCAGCAGCCAGGCAGAAAGCCAGTGTGCCCCGTCAGTCCAGCACTGGGGAGGCAGAGACGGGGTACCCCTGGGGCTCGCTGGACAGCCAATCTCACTGAATCATGAGCTTCGGGTGCAAGGAGAGACCCTGCCTCAAAAAATAAGGCTGAAAACAATAAACACGTCCGACGCTGACTTCTGACTTCTATACGCATGCATACACACACACACACACACACACACACACACACATGCAATGTCCATGCACACAGGCACAGGCACACACAGGCACACACACACATGTCCATGCACACAGGCACACATGTACACACACACGTGTTCATGCACACAGGCACATACACACGGGCACAGGCACACAGACAGACACACACATACGTACACAGACATGCACCAAAACAAAGAGGACTCCTAGGCCGTCTCTTATAAGGCTCTGTAGCTTTGTAACTGCTTTTCTGAAGGCTCAGATGAGCCTGCTTCCCTCCTACTCCAGTCCCCCCTCCTCCCAGCTCCCCTGCCTTCATGGTTCTTTTTTCCTTTAACTTCTTTTCTCTAGCCTCCTCTGGGCAGCTGCCAAAATGTACAGCTTGCCAGACCTGGTTTTTTTTTTTTTTTTTCAAAATAAAAAAAAAATATCCAAACAAAACGTCCGAGCCTGATATGGTGACTCATCACAGCCTGTCATCTCAGCACACAGGAGACTGTGGCACAGGAGGGCTCCCTCCTGGACTGCTGGGTGAGAATGCATCTTAAACACCACACCACAAAAGAATACGGGTCTTGGTTTTCAAGGGTCACAGTCTCAGGCCCCTCCCCTTCACTGAGACTCTGTCTTTCCAGTATGCAGACCCTGTAGCTGACCTCCTGGACCGATGGGGTGTGTTCCGGGCCCGACTCTTCAGAGAATCCTGTGTTTTCCATCGTGGGAACTATGTGAAGGACCTGAGTCGCCTGGGACGGGAGCTGAGCAAAGTAATCATCGTGGACAATTCTCCTGCCTCCTACATCTTCCATCCTGAGAATGCAGTAAGTCATCCCAGGAGAGGAGCTGGAGGCTCTGTCTGGGCTGCAGCCTAACTGCCAGTTCTGAAACATGGACTCATGGTGTACTCTGGGCTTGGCTTTTTTTTTTTTCAGACCTTGATTCATCCACTTAGTGACAACATGACTATTTAACTTCCCTCCTCATCTACAAGTGAGATGACAGGGACGCTGCTCTCCTGGGAGTTTTGGAGGACTCAGTGCTTAGACCCGTGCTCAGGCCTGGCATGACGCCTCTGCTCAGCTCAGCACAATGCCTCTCTTTGCAAGCCAAGTATTGTTATGGAGTGGGTTCTATCAGTCAGTCATCAAACTCGTGAAGCTTCCCAGATCCTTATGACCTCTCAGACACAGGGGTAACCACTCAACAGAAGTCTATCTTCCACAAGAATGAATAAAGCGATTCAGAAATGGCTTGCTATTGGAGCATCACCTCTGCCACCTCAGAGTGATGCCATAGAAGCCCAGGCAGGAAGGCTCCCGACATACCGCTCCCTGGAGCACAGCTGCCTGTGGTGCCTGCTCACCAGGGTGGCATGGTTCACAGAGCAGGGGGGTGGTGCCCTCTGCTACTTACTGGCCACTTCCAGGAAGAAGAGGTCAGCCAGGGTCACCACACCAAGCCAGAGCATGTCCTAAAAAACCACACATGCTTCTCAGGCTCACTCAACCCTGCAATGAAAACACCTCCTTTTTAAGGGGATTCTATAGCTCCCATTATAGTAAAGGGAAAGAAACTAAACTCAGTTAAATGGTAAAAATAAAGTCAAACTGCATTATAGCTATGTTTACATAGTCGGGTGTGGTGGCACACACCTTTATTCCCAGCTCACAGGCAGATGAGCTTTCTGAGTTCAAAGCCAGCCTGGGCTACATAGTGAGATCCTTTAAATAAGTAAATAGGTTCATGTTATCAAGTCAATCAAACCCCACGTCATGCACCCGGCAGTTGCCTCTGATAGATAAGGAATATATGCCCTTCCCACACAGCACAGCCATTTCTGGCATCATGTACTGGATGGACACACTGTGCATCTTGTCCCCATAAGTCAGGGTCTAAAGGTCCGTGCATTGCTTCAATTAACATATCTGTTTTTCTTTGATCTTGATCTTTTTTCTTATCTCCCCACTTTTCTTCTCTATCATTTATTTGTTGAAAGTTTACTAATTTGTCTTAGGGGGATTTTCTACATTCTGGTTTTGTGTAGTCGTTAGGACTTAGTAATGAGTGTTTTTCTAGACCCACAGCCTCCTTCAGGCAACCAGCTAGACTTCCTATCTACTATGTGAGACTCAGACATCATAGCTGTCTTCAGACACAGGGCATCAGATCTCATTACAGATGGTTGTAAGCCACCATGTGGTTGCTGGGATTTGAACTCAGAATCTCTGGAAGAGTAGTCAGTGCTCATAACCACTGAGCCATCTCTCCACCCCTTGTGGTTTTATTTTTTAATTACCTATTTATGCTTATAAGAGAGACTATGCACATGGATGCAGTACCTGTGAAGGCCAAAAGAGGGCGTCAGAGCCCCTGGCGTTGGAGTCACAGATGGCTGTGAGCTGCCTGACATGGGAACTGAACTCAGGTCCTCTGCAGGAGTAGTACGTGTGCTCTTAGCCACCAAACTACTTCTCTGGCTCCTCTTTTTAATTTTTAGAGACTTTGTTTTTACTTACGCATGTGTGTATGCGTGCATGTGTGTGCATGTGTGTTCCTCTGTGTGTGTGTGTGTGTGTGTGTACACGCGCACGCGTGCGTGTGTTTGCTCATACACACATGCAGTACCCAGAGAGTCTAGAAGAGTGTGATAGATCCCCTGTAGCTAAACTTACAGGAATCAAGAGTCACTTCATGTAGGTGTTGGGAACCAAACTCAGGTCCTTTGGAAGAGCAACATGTATTAGTGGCTGAGCTATCTCTCTGGCCCCTTCTTTTTTCTTTTCTAACAAAAATATGTCGTAGGTGAGGCCATTGATATGGCTCAGTTGACAGAGCAGTTACCTAGCAAGGCCCAGGGTTCAATCCCGAGGACTGGAAGTAGAGAGGCACATAGATTCCTTTGTATTTCCTAACGTTTCTTTTTGAATCGCTTCTCTGACCTCCTAGCTGCTGGCCACTACTGCCCCTCCCTCCTCTACCATGGAAACCTTGACATCTCCATGTTTACCCGGTTACTGCTAAGCCTGGGCAAGATTCTCTCCTCTTCACACACACAGCTTAGAGCAGTAGCCTTAAGTAGAAGCCCAGTGTACCTGGTGGATCCTGTGGTTGGTGGTTGGCAGGCAACCTTGGAGAGTCATCTGGGGCTCTGACAGGCAGTGGGACAATTTAGGGCAATAAAAAGAGCTTTGGAAACAAACAGGGAGTGAGTGGCCATCTTTTCTTCAGCCAGAAAGCTAAAGGGGGAAAATATACACACACTGGCAATCCTCTGCCTCACCGAGGGTCTCCTGGCTGTATCGGCTCTAGCACTAACTCTGGACTAACTGGTTACAGGCAGGTGACAGTACTAATGTCCCTGTGAGTCCGTACCACTCCCTCTTCATGCACTGTCTTGCAGGTGCCTGTGCAGTCCTGGTTTGACGACATGACAGACACGGAGCTGTTGGACCTCATCCCGTTCTTCGAGGGCCTGAGCAGGGAAGACGATGTCTACAGTATGCTGCACAGACTCTGTAGCAGGTAGCCCCGGCCCATCTATACCTGCGCCCTCTGGAACCCCTGGCTCAGGGCCTGGCCTCGGCTCCCGAGTGTTGCTTGGGAAGACCCCACGCTCTGGGCCACAGGGTGAATGTCACCATGCCTACCTGTTTTTGTTTTGTTTTTTAAAGAACAGAAACAACTATTTTAAAGGAAAAAAAAAACTCTTTTAATAGATTTCGTAAACGGACATGCATTTTACCAGATTCGATTTTCTTAAAACATACCAAAAAGGAAAAACAAAAAAAAAAAAAGAAAAGAAAAGAAAAAACACAAAAACTTTGATATCTCCTGACTTCCTTTCAACTGACCTCCCCTTCTGAGCAGACAAACCTGTCCTCTTGGTCCCCAGTTTGGAGCAGCTGACCCAACTCAGAATCTCTTTCCTACAGGATGAAGTGCCTTTTTGAATGTTATTTTAAGCTGAAAGTTAATTTTTTTGTATACAGCCTATTTCCAAACACCTTTTAGTCTTTTACCGTCTTAGATACTGACTCTGAGGAGACAAACAGGACAATTTTGTAGAACCTGGTAGACTGTGTGTGTTGGGGTGAGGATGTGGTCAGGGAAACAGTGGGTCACAAGAGCCTGCCTCCCAACATGTGTGACTGTCAATCATGGCGTGTATGGGGTCTGGCTCCCCCAGACAGGAGTTTTCTCCTGACTGTCCTTGTGTCATTTCTGACCAGTCTGGAATGTACCTTCCCCACGGCCCGACGCTTTATGAAACAGCCGGTTGCTTTTATGATGGTTTCGGAGGTTGTTAAAAATGTATCTTGAGGTTGCATTTTTGCCCTTGGGAAGTGATCGACATCATGTCATCACGTGTGCTTTCCCACGACTCCACATGTCTGTCCCTTGTTGTTCTGTTGTCGTTGGTTTGAAGAGAACAGTTACAGAAAATCCTGAAGCCCTTGGGGTTTTTAAGTCCTTCCTTTCAGAAGCTGGGTACACGTGGCGCTAGCTGTTCGGACTTTGCTGCTACTGCGCTCCTGCCACCAAACGGAACTGACCGGCGGCTGTTACACTGTTGTTCCTTAACCACTGTGCCTATGCTTAGAAGACGCTCACCGCTCAGCTTGCAGACTCGGACAGGGTCACAAACAGGTGTCCCACCCCATCAAGCACGGTGCCCTTCTTTGGTCCCAGACACGGCCAAGAATGCCGAAGGGCACAAAGGTTTAAAAACAAACAAACAAACAAAACCCTAAAGGGCCAAAGCACCCTCAGGTGCAGCATTCACTTTACACTGCAGTGAACATCAGAGCCTAAGATGGAACTCGCCCTCCTGTCTCCCATGAGAACCTGTGGCCTCAGCCAGCCACCACACTGATGTGGTGGCTCAAGTCCACCTCTCAGCCTCTTTGGAAGCACAGCCTCTTCGAGCCAAGGGTTGGAGAAGCCTGCCTAGATGAGATGGGAAACTCCATGCTCCAAACCAGGGAGAAGGGCTTCTCCCTGGAGCCTGGGGGCCTCTTCCCACCTGTTCCCAGTTTGCTGTTTAATAGTGCCATGTTCTGTCACTCTTCTGAAGAATGAAAAGAGCCCTTTGTGGGGGCACCGATGCCTTAGTCCTCCGTGGGTCGGGCCTCAGCCAGAATTCTGCTGGGAGTCGCTGGCATTGACAAGATTTAAAGTCAGGGGTCAAACTTTTAATAAAAAAAAAAAATGTTTTTTTTTCTTTCATTCACAAAATAATGAAGCCAGCTATTAGGCCTGTCTTCCCACAGTGCTTGGTCTGGGGAACCACTGTGCAATCAGAACAGAAATATGTCAGGGTCATTCAGATCACCTGACTGAGTGTTCCAAACCCAGCAAGCCCCGTGCCAATTAAAAGAGAAACTGCCCCTTTGCTAAGCATTTCCACAGGAAATGACAGTTACCTAGCAGATCCACACACGCCGTAAACCCTCATGGAAAACCAGTCATTAACTGATCCCGCTGCCTTAAGTGTCTTGGGTGTTTCAGAATCTGCCGTGTGTTGACTTCCACACAAAACGAGGCCCAGATAGAACCTCAGATCTTCGCCTGTGCCTCTTTGTGTCGGTGTCATGGGGCCTTATTTGAAAAGGTGGCAGAATGGACTGAACTTCCAGAATATTTCAGGGGAAGTGAGCCTAGAAATAGTGCTCTACTTCAGACAGGTTCGAGGCCAACCCTTGGCCTTACCGTCCCGGGGCTGCGTGTACCCATGCACCCTGGGTAGAGCTTCCAGGTAGGGAGCCCCGTTCTTGCCTCCACAAACGTGGAATGTCTTGGGTGGGTGGCAGAGCTTCCGAGGGTTCTGAAATCTGCACCTTATCTGACCAAGCTCCAAAAAAAATGGCAATTTTTCTTTCCTTTTTTTTTTTTTAAAAAAAAAACTGCTTTATGTACATAATTGATAAAATAGCTATATTTTTAATCGGTTACGTGTAAATGAAGCAATAGAAAAGTCTAACAAGGCCAAGAAAGGAGACGAATGTTTGAGGTTTATTTTCTTAAGGTAAATACGGGTATTGCTTTTAATTGTAAGTTTATTAAAATGTGGGCTTGTAAAACGTATCAGCCACTTCTCTGTGCCATATCCTTCCCACATTACCAAAATACTCCATCTCCTTAGCCAAAAGAAACACCTGACCTCCCAAGTCCCGTGGTCTTCTCAGCTCCAGGTTAGGACTCCTCTCTTAGACAAGTGTTTTCAATGCAAAGGTCTGGGACAGAGTGGCTTGGGTTGGTGGACTCCAGCCTATACCTTTTGCTTGACCTCAAGTGGGGGGGCTTCCTGGGCACCCCTGACCCCTGATGATGTTAATGTTCTTGTCTTCCATTTTTTCTGGAATCCTCCATGTCAGTCTCCTGTACTAGCTGTTTGTAAACAATACATTTCTATCTTAATCACACCACCTGTCACTGATGGCAGTGGGTGGCGATTCCTCTGACACGGTGCAATGTTGTGAGGTGGCTTTGGGGGAAGGAGGACATCCACATGACACTAACTCGTCACGGTCACAGCATTTGAAGTTAGGGGTACGAACATGAAACCTGGAAGTGTGTAGAGCCTGGCAGCATTTTATAATAACCCTGTCTTTCAAAGATGGCTTTCTAATAAAATCCAGAAACACACAGCCCTATTGGTCAAACACTCGTGACGTTTGTGCCTCTGCTTCTAATGGTGCTGTGCTGGACAGCTGGCGTGCCAGGGTTTGAGAAGAGCAGATGGCCTACCGTGCTCTCGGTTCCCTTCGCAAACTTGCTGGCTGCCTCTGTTCCTATTTTACTGTAAATCTGACCATGTGTATCCCTGGAGTTGCCCTGAGGATAGGTACCCCCCCCCAAGCAGTGGTGATGTTGGTGCCTGGGGAGTTACAGTTTTCTGCTGGATGTTTGAATGTGCCGTTCCAGTGCCACTTGGGAAATACTCCATGTTGGGATGTGTACAATGCTTGGGGCAAGTATTGTCAATCAGTGATTTCCCTCCTGCCAAAAATAAACTCGTCAAACTGCACTGTCTCGTGGTTGACCTGCTTCTCTGGAGGTTTGGCCTCTCCTCCCTGTCTTTTTCCCCCTGCATACCCTCCTGTTGACACCTTGGGCCCTGATGGTCCCACTTTTCCAGAGTAAAGTGAACAGAGCTGACGAACTCCATGCCAGAGTCCTTGGCTCCCAGGAAAGCTAGAAAATCACTCAACCCAAATAGATGGTAACTGGCAAAGTGGCCAGTGCTCGACCTTCTGGTCCTCTTTCCCAGGCAAGTATTGTGACTCCATCCATCCATAAGGACTCCAGCCCTACCAACAGGCTTCCACATGGCCTTTGTCCTGGGACCAGTCCTCTTAGGATACTAACAGACATTATATTTCCAGCCTCACCAACCCAGGGTACACTATATATATAATAAGCACAGGAAACCTAATATTTCCTCAGAGATAAACTCTAACGCCCCATGACTAGTCTGTGGTGCGTCCTAGGTACCTGCCCTTCATAGAAGGGCTGCTGCCCACACAGAAACGTGTCACTCCGACGTAACCTGGTTCTGACTGCCCCTGCCCCATTCTGTCTTTGCTTCCCGTTGCTCCCCAGTCCCTTCTCTTACCGCTGCCCTCAGCCCAACCTTGTGAGACTTTGCACTTCTGTATACACACAGGTTTGTGGCAGCCCTGGGGGATTCAGTGCCTAGTGATGACCCAGGCAGGTGAGAAGGAGAGTCACAGAGAGGACACTCAACTGGGGTTTGGGCTCACTGAGATGTCCTCTATTTGTGGTCTGTCTGTTGCATGACAGAAGAACTGGAGGGTAGGAAGGGACAGCCTGAGAACAGTAGTCAGCTAGCTGGCATGAGCAATTGGACATGAAGTGCCTGTGGCTGTTGGCGGGGACCCTGGAGTATCCACACATGCTTACATGTTGTTTCCCTTTTACTAGAGACAGCTACAAGTCAACTGGATGTTCAAAGCCCGGAGCCTCTAAGAGCACCCCAGAACTGGCTGGACGCTCAGGCTGTGAGGCAAGCATGCAGCCCCCACCCCCAACCTTTCCAACCAAACCCCCAGTAGCTACACTGAGAATTACTGGGGGTGAGTGTATCCCTCAGCACAGCCTCCCCACCCCCACCCCACACACCACCTGGGGACTCATTTCCTTTTGGGTTTTTTGGGGGGTTGTTGTTGTTGTTTTGTTTTTTGAGACAGGGTTTCTCTGTATAGCCCTAGCTGTCCTGGAACTCACTTTGTAGACCAGGCTGGCCTCAAACTCAGAAATCCGCCTGCCTCTGCCTCCCAAGTGCTGGGATTAAAGGCATGCACCACCACTGCCCAGCTCCTTTTGTTTTTGAGACAGGATTTCCCTGTGTAGCCCTGACTGGTCTCGAACTCACAGAGATCTGCCTGTCTCTGCCTTCTAAGTGCTGGGAATTAAAAGCCTTGTTATACCTGGAGGCTCTTAAAGGTACCAAATCTTGATGGGTAGCAACTCCGGGGATGAGAGCACTTGCTGAGTCAGGAGGCCCTGAGTTTCAATCCCCAGCACCCACATAGGATACACGCTTCGAAAGCAAGCATGAAGGCCTAAGTCTGATCCCTGGAATACACACAAGAAATGCCAGGTGTGGTGGCACACCCTCACAGTCTCAGACTGGGGCAGCAGAGCCTGGTGGGTTCCTGGGGCTCGCTGGCTGTTCATCTTAGTCTACCTAGTTGGTAAGCTCTAGGCCAAGAGAGACCTTGTCCAAAGGGGGTGGGCAACATCCTAAGGACGGCTTTCCAACCTCCAATGTGTGTGTACACATGTACCCACACGCAGACATACACATACACACCATGTATGCACAGATGGGTAGACTCCTCAAGGCCACCCTGGCCTTTCAACTCAGACCTCTCAGGATGGGAGCCTGCCTTCCTTCCAACACTCCAGATGACTCAATGTGCAGCCAGGGTTGGGAGCTGCTGGCTAGCTACAAAACATGAGACCCATTTCAGGCCTGGTACCCACAGAGCACAGTTGCCGTGAACGAGGCTTTGGAGAGTTGACATATAGTGTTCTTTGGAAAATACTTCATATGTGTTCATTGCTACAAAAGACCCTGCAAAGGTACAGAAAGTACCCTTCTTGGGCACTGGGGGCCTCTCAAGGCTGGAGCAATGGCTCTGGAATTGGGAATACTTGCAGGATGGGTTTCCAGGCCCCTTATCATGTGGCTCACAACCTGTAACTCCAGTCCCAGGGGAATCCAATGCCCTCTTCTGGTCTCTGTGAGGACCAGGCACATATATGATGCACAGACATTAACAGGCATTCGCTCATACAGATAAAATAAATAAGTTATGTAAGCCTTTGCTAGGTCAAGCGACCAGAAGCCCAGGTTACTTGCCAGGAGCAGAACCCAGCTGTCCACTCTACTGCATCAAGGGTGGGACAGTGTTCTTCACCAGGCTGGTCTCCTGGCTATGTCCTGATGGACATATTCCTCACACCACTCCGAGCAAAGTAGTGGTGAGGGTGTGTGCATTGCAGGGGCCTGTGATTCATCTGTCCAGGGTTAACTTAGAGTTCCTGTAAGACCCACAAAACATGACTCCCAGGTGCTACCTACCTTGGGGACACCTTCCACTCTGACCCCTTGCTGTGGGCCAGCTGTAGGGTGCTGGGTCCCCACATCTAGCTCCAGGACAAGAGAGTAGAGTGGAAGGGACAAGATCACGATCTCCAAGAACTCCAAATTGTCAACAGGACCAGAGTCAGATGACTCTCCCTCCGGGGACTCCCTGAGAGATTACACACCAGCCTGGGAGAGACTAGGTAGGTAGAGAGAGAGAGGAAGAGGGAGTGGGGGGGGGCATGGGAGTGGAGCCTTGTGGGATGGGGCCTGCTTGGGGCTACTCCCTCAGCTAAGTCAATATTAACGTGGGAAAATGTAGGAGATACTTAGGCAAGAACATAGTAGCCCCAAATCTCTGGGAACCTACAAGTTAGGGTTGTAGGGCTTCCTGGGTCACAGAAGTAACAGGATGAGGAACTCACCAGGCAGTGCCAGCCAGGCCGGCCCAGCTCAGTCAGACTCCAAACTAAGAGCTAAGGAGTAAGTATTAGGGCGGGTCTAATGAGGGAAGATGGCCAAGCTAAAGGGAAGGAGAGAGAGAGAGAGAGAGAGAGAGAGAGAGAGAGAGAGAGAGAGAGAGAGAGAGAGAGAGAGAGAGAGAGACTGACTCTGACTGAAGTATCTGTGAGCCTACCCTGGGTCTCAATCTCCTCTCTGCCATAGATGTAATGGTCACAGCAAGGCTCCTCCAAGCCAGACACCAAGAGTCAGGTTCTAGTCTGCCTGCCATCTCTGCAGACTTGGCCCCCAAAGTTGGGGTGGTTTTTCCCAGGCAGTGTCATCTGGGTCCTAGAAACACAAACTTTTGAGGAGAGGGACTTTTGGGGAATCCTTCTGACTACCAGTAAGCTGCTGGGGCTGGATTGTGCTAGGTGGAGTATACTTACCAAACTAGGGGGCTGGAGGAGTGTCACCCACTGGGAAAGAAATGTCAGCTCACTTATTTGTTTGTTTGTTTATTTTTAGTTTTTCGAGACAGGGTTTCTCTGTGTAGCCCTAGCTGTCCTGGACTTACTTTGTAGACCAGTCTGGTCTTGAATTCACAGAGATCCACTTGCCTCTGTCTCCCAAATGCTGGCATTAAAGGCCTGTGCCACAACACCTAGCATCCCCCACCACCACCACCCCTTGGGGAGGAAAGGTTTTATTTCAACTTACATTTTAGGTCACATTCCATTACTGAGGGAAGTCAGAGCAGGAACTGAGACGGAGGCCATAGAGGAACACAGCTATGGACTGGCTTACTCAACCTGCTTTCTTATAGTATCCAGGATCACCTGCCTAGGGACTGCACCGCCCACAGTGGGCTGAGCCCTTCCACAGCAATCATCAATCAAGAAAATGCCCCCACAGGCTTGCCTTGTAGGCTTGTCTTTTGGAAGCATTTTCTCAGATGATTCCAGCCTATGTAAAGTTGACAAAACAAAAACAAAACTGGTCAGCCAGGACACTGTGAGAACCACAGATTTAATTGGGAACATATCAGCTCAGCAGACCACTGGCTTCCAAAAGACTCACAAGCTAAGAAAGTCATCAGATTGTGTCTGAGACTTACAGAAGGGATTTCAGCTTTTGTCAACTCATTTTTTAAAAAGAGCCTAAGAAATGCCCTAAGGTCATTTGCCAGGGGGCACCGGAGTAGGGGCAGAGACTGACTGGAGAAAAATTCATGCCCTGCTTCCATAAGGTACACATACCTGCTTGCACACACACACAGACACGTGGAGACACACGCATTCACACATACACACAGATACACACACACACACTGTGGAAATACAGTAACTTACAGTACGTCAGCAACCATCCTTAAAGTTTTAACTCTCAGCAGGTCCACGTTCTGCCCGGGCATTAAGAAGGGTCCAGTCAACAGAGTCTCCCGCTGAGGGGTTGAAGCAGGAAGTAGCAAATGACTGGGGCAGAGGCTGCTTCCGTGTGGGCAGCGGTATTTCAGCTAAGCTCTAGATTCAGAAGGAACAGACATGAGCCCTAGGAAGGCAGGACTTGGCAAAAGGACACCAGGAAGATAAGTGGCATGAGGAAACAGAGCAGAATGAGCTGGGTACCTTGAAGCTATGGAAAGGACGCACAGTTAGAAATGAGCAATGGAGGGCGTGGTCAGTTATGCATATGAAGGGCGTGGTCATGTGCGCAGCTAGGAGCGTGGTCAGATATGCAGCTGGAGGGAGGTCTGGTGATGTGGGCCTCACTGTAGGTCTAAGGCCACTTGGTGAGAGAGAGGCAGAGGGAGATGCCTCTCTGAAACTGGTCAAAATAGGGACAGAAAGTGATGATGGAGGCGGGCAGTGGGGGAGTGTTGCTTATGAGTATTTACAGTTTATTGGGTTTTAGTTCCAGTTTTATTCTCTAAGTATGCATGTGTGTGTGTATGCCTATGCCTGTGTTTGTAT